CGTCCCTTTGAAAAAGTTATCGAGATTTCCACTAATTAATGAATTATTGACAATTGCCTCTCATGATCCTTGGCTCCACTATGATTTTAACTTACCACTTTTTGATTATTTATCAAATACCTCTCCGAGTATATAACGCCTCGATGCCTTGTTGGTTTCTGGTCTCATTTGGATTGGTCCTGAATTTGTTTGATATCCTGTTCGAAGTGTTTATATTCCTTATCCTTAGACCATTGAGTTAGGTTATTTCTTTGAGTTCCAGCTTGTACGTGTCTCACGTCATATGATTCGCCATTCATAAAGATAATGGGTTAAAAGGGAGTAAAACATACATAAAGGTAGATTAGTATTAGTTGTACTTGATCCAAACAATAGAAAGGAGCATAGAAAACTTAGTAGGAAAATAAAACCAATATATAACTAAAAGTGCAATGGATAAGTGTTAGTTCCGGGATCATTTTAGTGTTAAGTGTTATGTTAGTTTTGATCCGTATTCAGCCCTGTCGGCCCCTCCAGCACTATTTGCATAATCTTGTGACAAGATTTTGCGACACTGTTACTACTACTATGTTCGATGTATGACTTGTCAATTAGAAGAATACTGTTTTCTAACGCAACGCAATGTCTTTCAATAAATCCCTCAATCAATTTGATTTTTGAAAATTTGTTTAAAAGGGCTTAGTTGACACATCATACCTTACCGAAAACTAAAGCACAACAATCCTAATTCTTATTTTAAGCCTATCAACATATTTAACACATCTTTCCTAAAACTTCACTTATTCGTAAGCGCCTGATTGAAGAAATGACTTTCGCTATTGACATTGCCTGTAATTAACAAATACACTAAATAGGAAGATTTATTATACAACTTCAAAGGCTAGTCGCCTCCCTAAGCGGACCCCCCGCGTCCTATCTTTTATGTTAATTAACTTTCTGAATTCTCTAATTGAAGTTCATTTGATGATAATTTAGTCTTATTTAATAAATAACTGAAATCCCTAATCTACCTACACAATCATAACCTATGCTTTTAAACTAAAATTTAACGTGTTTCAAGTAATTCTGCCTTTGACATACATACATTAATTATATCTTTGTTCGTCCCAGGTGACACCTTCAAGTGACTAAAATGCTTCACTTTGAAGTTAGTTTCCAAGCTAATTTTAAATTGTATATTGTATAGGGTTAATGTTCCAATTACGCTATCACGTTTCCACTATGTCGCACCACAAAAATACATATGAGTATGTCACAATAGAAGCACACTACAGTGGAAATCCCGAGTCATAGTTCAAACAATTATCCCAAATCAAAATGAAGCACAAATAAGATTAGTTACAATACCATGTACAAAAATGTGTTTAACATTGTAATGTTAAAGTAATTGAGTAATACCTCAATGAAAACAACAATGAAAGCTTGTCACGCAAATAGAAGGAGCACCGTTGCGCACTTTCTGAAATATTTTAACAGTATAATTCCCTTGCAAACCCAAATAAATCTATCTGCGTAAAAATAAATAAAATAAGAGTGATTTGCGGCAAAACCCGCCAGTATCGCACCCAACGTCAGTGCCTATACGTTAGCGTACTACGACGTGGCTCTCAATCAAAGGAGTAACAAGTGTGATACTATCACTGCTAGACTAGATCTTTGGTTCTCTCATGCAGTGGTTTATCAGAGAGGAGAAGCTTAGTAATCCCCATTGCCTGCCCATGACGCCATTCTATCGCGGCATGAGCCAGCAACGCCGACCATAAACCTACCGTCTCCAACCCTCCACTAAAAAGCATGAAATTAAGCCCGCCCACCAGCAACAAGGTGCAAAAACTAGCCAAGGGGAGGGTACTTATTGAAAACAGTTCCAGTGTACCAAAATTGATGAAATTTTGGGTTTGGGTTTCATTTTTAATGCAGATTACGAATATGCATTCACCTCAATACCCTTAAAGAACCCAATTGTATGATCATATGGCTGGAAGGAGATTCTCTACCATCCCGTGAAGGCGTATAGATGAATTTACCTATCGATCCACCAAACCCGTTTTTGGCCCTTCATACAGTGACATGTTGAAGACAATCAAAGGTTATTAGGCTTGATCAAATCAAACAGTGAGGAAACGGACTTCGTTTCCATGCTACAATGAGTGGTAGACAATTATCATACATCATATATTAATGTCACCCCATATAAGGTTTTTCATTGGTATATTTTTTAATTAATTTTAGTAGAATGATACTTCAATTTCAATCAACCACTTCCATGACAGCCGTAAATAAATCATTGATGAATATTTTCACATGCTTAAAAATGTGTCTCTTGCAAAAATGGGAATGGGAAATTTTTTGATTTGTTGACCCATTGTCACCCCCACTTACGGTACTCTTAAATAACGCATTTCGGGGAAAATGCGGAAAACAGATTTACTCTTAACGCTTCAGAGCTTGAGATTAGTTGTAATTGATTTCTTTGGTTTCCTACAATATCATCCACTACATTTTATGGCTGTAGATAACCAGCAATGACATATAAAGCCAAATAACTTCTAATATCACCTGAAAATGGGAAGAAAGTCCGCAATCGACGGACTAGATTAAAGGACGGTATTACAATGAATAGGTGGAAACTAACGATTTTAAATTGGCTCACACTGGACTAGCATATCGGTCCCAAGTCATCGATGAACGTACCCTATTCTAGACGAAACTCTAGTACAACACTATGTTTGTTTTGATTCGCTATGAAAGTTTGACGGATAAAATGAGGGGTTCTTGGATTTTCCTATGTTTCGAGGGGTGCATCGATTAGCTGGGACCGAAGAGAGTACCAGAGCTGAGTCAAAAAGTTGAGCACGTTTCTTCGGGACCTTCTGGTCTTAGAGTTACCTTTATGGTATAACCATAGTGTAGTACTAGACTTTCGACTAGAATGGGATACGTTAATCGATTTGCTTGGGACCAATAGGCTAGTCTAGTACACGCAAACCAAAAATCTATTACAATGAATGTTAGTTCCATTTCCTATCATCCTCTGTTCATGAACATCGCAGCGAATGTTACAAGTTGACCTTGCAGGTGATGTAATGGTTTTTTGCCTTTTTTATTTCGTGTTCTGTCTGTGCTTTCACCTACACAAGCAAGCATTTTGGGCTGAAAGTCTCCTTAATAAAGATATATAAAAAAAAAGCAAGCTTTTGCTTGATTTTTATGTATGACATGGTAGAACAACGCACACCCTTGCCTCGAATCTCTCCAGCAGAAAAAGCATACGAAGTCGAGTGTGAGAGGAAATGAGCGCTTCTTGTTTGCTTTTAGGCTATCCTTATTCAGAAGCATGAAGAGAGCAGTGGAGAAAGCACAGGTCTGATAATCGCAACGTTCGTTGTTCGAGTCCAGTCGGCAACCTTTTTCCTATTTTTTTTTTCGACATCATTAATTTCCCTCACTAATACACTCTACATTTTTCGGTCTCTAATTTTCTTGCATTGGACCGCAGCTAGGTATATCGCATCCTTGGTTCATGCGGTCTCGACTTACATCCTCTGATGATGAGTCCCACATAATTTTAAGCGAATCTTACATCCACCGGTTGGGTGTAGTAAACCAATTTAAAATCGTTAGTTTCCACCGGTTGGTATAACGTTGATCCGAACAAGTAGTTAAAAAAAAAACAGTAGTTGGGGTTGGAAATTGTCTCGACTACCTCGGTTGGGGATATCCATGTAAATCTTGAACTAGGCTGTCGGTTGAATTTGTGGACCAAATGAATACAATGGCCTCGGCGGGACCGTACCGAGTGTGGGGCAGATTAGGTTGAATATTGGATTGTCTGTTTTAAAATGTCGTTATTGTAATCATGCTGAACATTGCATTAGGTCGTAAGTAACATTGACAGATTCTCTACGTCGACTATCTCTATGCATCCCCACGGTCATGTATATACAATCCCAGGTAGTTCGAGCACACAGATTGATAAAAGAAGCTTTTATATAGCATCTAATACGACAAACACATCAAGAAACGGTTCTGTGCTCAAATTATTAAAGAAAGAGAAAGTCGACGAAGAGAATCGATCAATGTTGCTTAGGACCTAATGCAATGTTCAGCTTGTAATAGGATTTTCTTGATCACTGTGAATACCCGTGAGCTTCAACGGTTTTTCACACTTATGTCATGAAGTAGTTGAACAATTTTGATGGATTTTTATCTGTTAGTGAAATCTGTTCGTTTACAAAACTGGTTTGAATGCTTTTAAATAAATTATCTTACACATAAATCGTCTAGCTTAAAAAATTGTATGGGTTAAGGGGCGGGACCATCATCATTATCATCACCACCAACTTATCCGAAAAAAAAACTAACTTTCTTAAATAAATCACACCTCAAATAAAAAAAAAATGTCCCATGACATAGTTAATGCATGACCCCTAATGTATAATCATGTGCGACGGCAGTGCATTGCAATCGTCTCAATCTTGACGCTAACGTCGTATACGATTTCAGTTTTTCGATCTGAACTGAGCGGAGTTCAATCATCTACAGATCCTGTTCTACGCTCTGAAGCCATACTAATTAGTGTACATAGAACGACAACGACACAAGAGCATACGCGTGTGGTAATCTGCATGGAAGCAAGAATAAGGAGCAACAAAAACTTCGTTATCAATGCTTTTGTATACCAATTTACTACGACTTTCTTTCTTAGCACTGAGCATTATTTTTAGAATAAATAATATAATAGAGTACAAAATGTACACCAAATTCATCGCAAGTGAATGATTGGCAGAATCTTGATAAATCGATAAAATAGATCTAACCTAATTATATTTTCTACAGTTTTGTGAGTCTATCTGCAAGATTATGTAACGAATGATTGCATTGCAACCGACCCTATTCCCATAAGATTGTATTACCATCTCGGTTAATCTATTATTTCGTCCGTTCTTATCGTTTCACCTCTGATACTCCAATACACACACGGACACGCTGGAAACCAGATCCGACAAAGAAGAGCGGCCAACGGTTGGTGGGGGATGTGAAGTACGACGAAGCCCTGATGGTGGCATCGCATGTCACCCCAGTACCGGGTGGCGTTGGCCCGATGACCGTGGCAATGCTGATGCAAAACACGGTTCAGTCTGCTCAGAGAGTCGCCAAGAGGCTGATCGATATGGAGTTCCGCTGGATGATCAAGACGCTCCCGTTGAAACCGTTGGAGCAGGTACCGAGGTGAGTACACAGGGCTAGAAATTGTGTGTTGTGATCCATGGCGGGCAGTGTAATGATTGTAATTTCCATGCTACAAGGTGATTAAAGCAAGTGATGTCGCATTAATGATCTGTTTTGCATCTCATGCAAGAAGCAATTGGGTGATTAATGTCTATCAGTGAAGCCTATACGTTAATGAAAAATTAAAGTGCAAATTAACAATAATATACAGTCATCTATATGGACCCATGCATCAACAAGCAGTGAACAATTAGCAGGAAAGCAGTACTAGAAGTTTTGTGCTGGAAAAGTTTCTCTTTTGATGATTGTAAACAATAAGGGTGATCCTGAAAAGAATTGATATTCGAAAATTAAATTTCTAGTTTTTAATATAAAGCCATAGATCTTCGGCAAAGTTGTAGCTGTGTTGATTTCAATCATCTTTGTTTAAGAAACATTTGTCAACTCCAGACGAATCTAGAACCGCACTTCCGCTCATACTGGTGACAACGCTCTGATTAGACAACGAAACCTCACCTCAAGCTCCTCTCCTTATCTTATTTTTCGACAATATACTCCTCTAACCTTGGGTAAGCTGCGAGTATTCGGCCCAACTCCTAGCAGACATAGAAATAACTGATTTTTTTATAAACAATGAACAATGAATTATCGGCTCCGTAAAGCTAATGCGCTTGAGCCTTCCAAAACATTTTCTCTATCTCTCAAAGATCTCAGAGCAAGATGCGCTATTTTATTCAATCAACAAAGTGAACTCGTTGTGAGCACATCGTTAAAGAAAATAAATCTATTTTAGGGGAAACGCTTCTATAGTTGCGGTACGTTAGAAGCGTTAGGTTCCTATAGTTGTGCATGGAGACTCAATACACAACTATAGAAACCTAACGCTTCTAACGTACCGCAACTATAGGAGCGTTTACCTTACTGTTTTACATAAAACTCTTGGCCTTTCATTTCACTGGAACCTCATCCCAAGAATTGTTGGGAGTTTACACTATATTTACAAAGGTGTCACGCAAAGAAGAAGTGTTAGTTTGTTTACTAAAATGAACAATTACCATTTTATTGGGCAAGTTTTGCTATAAGAAATGCTCCTCGTGTTTATTGGTGAAATTCACATATAAGATAGATCACTTGCGTGTGAAATCAATTCGAAAAGGCATTTGTGACCAGCATACACCTTCCGATTGTATGAACCAAGTCCAAATCTGTCCGTATTTTTCGTTTGTTTTGGCATTCTTTATGGCAAAATAGTAAAATTTTCATGAGCATTAACGGCAAATAACTCACCAACACTAGCGGACTGTGAGTTCCAGCTCCTCTGTAATTACCCGGGTAGGTTTCCACTGCTATTTGACGCAGAAACGACGAGAGAGCTGTTTGTAACACCGGTTAAAGAAGTAGCGGCAGCATATCTATGGGAGCTCTTCGAAATCATCGTGATGTTATGGATTTCTTTGCAACATATCGGGTGAGATCTTTCCTATATTTTTCTCTTAACTTTCATTCCTTTATTATATGAAATATGGCTTCACCAGGGCTCCCGATTGAAGTCAAATTGATGGGTATAGCGGAAATGCCAACTCCCTGTCTTTAGCATTTCGTGAATAGAGGGTGGGCTCTTCTCCACACTCATTGAGGCATTGGTTGGATGGCCTGTTTTTTATCTGTTGTATGACCCTGTTGTTGGAAGGAGATTCTAATTTACCCCGTGGATGCACGTTGCCCACCGAATTCACCCTAACCGTGTTTGGCCCTTCATACAATGGCAGGTTGAGTACAATTAGAGGTTATTAAACTTGATCAAGTCGAACAGCTAACGGCGCCGGTGGTGTAGTGGTAAGCGTGATTATCTCTCACCCCAGCAGGCCTGGGTTCAATACCAGTCGGCGCCGCCGGGATGTTCTGAGGCATAACATCTCTGATCACGCCTTCCTTCGGATGGGAAGTAAAGCCGTTGGTCCCCGGTTCATGAGTTGATGGGTCGATAGGTAGGGTCCAGGTGTGGGAGCTGCCTTCCTGGCACGTCGGTAGCGTAGCATTGGTGCTCAGCACGGAGGAAAACAAGATCGACGGAAAAAAACAAACCAAAGGAAAAAAAAGTCGAACAGCAACAGTTATCTTGCTACAGTGAGTGGTAGTTCCATATCATCATCACTCCATATGCGTAGACTTCGATCATATTTTTTAAATTTGGACCATAGACACTCGCCAAACCACCCCCATCTCTCTGATGGTGACTACGTAGTTTATGAATAGCCCCTGTGTTGAACAATACCAAGTTAAATTTGTAACACGGTGAAAAGTAATAGTAACAGTAAAAGTGGCTAGTTCGATTGGAAAATATATTTATTTTTTTTTAAATAAAGTACAAAACAACGAATGTTTTCAATTCTCATGTGATTTGATATGCTGCAGATGAAATTTGGTTTGATTTTTGATTTACTATTTTCTCAGGGGTAGCGGACAATGCCATTAATTAATCTTGCTTTCAAATGTTCATAGGGTTAACTACCCCATTACCGGCCTTTTAAGCACAACCCGCACTTAGTCTTTAGCACCAAACGGAATATTATTATTACATATTGCTTCTAAATGTATTTACCTTTCCATATATGAACCGTTAGTTCTGATTAAATCAGGCATAACATTTGATAACGGCACAAAAGCATTTGTAAACAAACTTTCTAAGGCTCTTTACACGCGAACCAAAGTACGCCCACGCAAACCAATACCACTTTCGGAAAAGTGATAGTTTCCCCTATCGGATGATGTTGGTTTGCGTGGGCGTACTTTGGTTCGCGTTTAAAGGGCCTTAGAAAGTTTGTTTACAAATGATTTTGTGCCGTTATCAAATGTTATGCCTGAAATATTCGTTTATTGTTGAAAATGCAAAACTCTGGAGCAAAAATAGAAAAAGACCTAAAAGCAAAATGTAAACATTGTGAAAAGCGCATTCGAATTTCTGAAACTAGTTTTTAAATCCTATTTTAAGATAACAATCAAAATTTTGAAGAAAAAAATCAAGCCATAAGAAGCCAATCTATGTAATCTATGAATAGTGTTTTTGATTTATCAAAAAAAAATCACTTTTTAATAGTTAATTTTAATAAAATATGCGTTAAGCAATTTTTCTATATTCATGCTGCATTAAGCCCTTTTGACAAAAGCCTTTTTTCCATTGGGTCATTTTGACATGAGCCTATTATGGAGAAGTGTTTGCGTTTAGGCCCTATTAATTAATGTTGCTAAATAAAAGTGGGAAATAATCGAATGGATCCGTTTGAATTGAAAAACGTTCAATCAAAATATCGATCCACCATAAATAAGAATCAAAGTTCTCTTGTAATCTAGTTTGTAATATATATAAAAGAACTAAATGGAATTAATAATTCAATGAGTTTTATTTGGTTTAAAGCAGCATTTTAGTTAACATTTAGTTAACTAAAGGCATTGTTTAAAGTTTACAACATTCATTCCACATCTTCCAAGTATTCAACCGGTCAGGCTTCTTCCGGAGATTCCATATCATCGTCGAAATTATTATTTTCTTCTATCAGTTTCCTCCTTCCGCACTTTGGGGCTGTCAAACTCTTCGAGAGCGTCTCGTAATACATATTGTTTATTCGAAATGTAAAGCATGAGTTTTTTTTTTCAAATCATTGAACTTTTCCTGACTTAGAGGAATTGGACTAGTTTCTATTGGATTCAAATCCGACAGAAGAGATTTTGTTTCCTCGAGAATTGTAAAACTACGATAATCGTGAGTGGGATTCGTTTCGAAAAACACTTTTCCGATTTCTTTGCTGCGATATTCAAAGACTTTAAATGCTTTGAAGCGCACCTGGACACCTTCATCATTGAGCATTGGTCTTTTGAATCTTTTGTCCAAATTTTTCGGAGCTAGGAACTGTGATTGCTCCATTTCGACAACATCCAATTGTGTTTTTCTACGAATTTGCGGTATGAATACAGCGTAGTCACGTGGCGTCTCGATATTCATGGTTGTTCTTTTCTTGGATTTCTCAATGGAAGCATGAATGGAATATACTTCCATATGAGAATGCCCGGATACCATAAAATTATATCGAACAACCACGTCTTGATTGTTTTTCGAGCATTCCTCGACAAAGAGTGCGAGCGTCATGCAAATCACTATGTTGTGGTTTTGGCCACTGCGTCGATCTGAATACAGATTAATGGTTTTCAATTCGCCATAGCGCTTCATGAGTGATCTGAGATACTGTAACAAACATGATCCAACCATAGAGGTAACTCTAAGACCAAAAGGTCTCGAAGAAACGTGCGCAACTTTCTAGCTCAGCTCTGGTACTACCTTTGGTCCCAAGCTAATCGATTCACGCCTCGAAACATAGGAAAATCCACTCCTCATTTTATCTGTCAAACTTTCATAGCGAATCAAAACAAACATAGTGTAGTACTAGAATTTTGGCTAGAATGGGGTACGTAAATAATCGATTTGCTTGGGACCAATAGGCTAGTCATCGTTAGTTTCGTATTGATTGTTGATCCAACTTCCGGCGATCCACGTCTAGCCATAGATTCGTCCCATAGGTAACAACGCCCAATATTTTCGTCACGAAACGTTTCATAAATCTCTAAATTCAACGTATACAGTTGTCGGCTGTTAAACGCTTGACCACATACTTAGTGAGGGGTTGGCAAACATTTCTGCAGATCAAACAAGGCAGTACACACTGTTTTATCGGTTTTTGCAACCTGCATATCACGTTTTTTTTCCATCGTATACCTGCTGGGCAATCGCTTGGTGAGCCTCGAGATCTGCCTGGAGATGATCTTTTTCATTTTCCAAAGAACATTTTTTTAATAAGCACATGTAGCTTATCGCAATCGCAACAGGTATCGAGTTGTGGTCTTCGGAAACTTATATTGAAAGTTTTGAAAATCATACAAAACGTGTTATAATGAACTGACTGACATTTCTCGTTCGAAAACTTCTTTACATACAAATCATATATTTT